CTCATCTCTCTCATCTCTACAACTAGTCTCTCTCTCTCTCTCTCTCTCTCTCTCTCTCTCTGCTTTAAAATGCAGGTTGCAGACCTGATACGGTCAAGGGTCGGATGCGGCTCAATGCTGTCCCAATGCGGTCAATGAATATAAAAATAATAAAAACATATAATAATGCATAGACAAAAACATAAATGTGATATATGTGATAGAAGGTATTTTAATTTCTTCATTATTTATAATATTAGATGCCTGAAACTCGAGTTCCCTGATAACCTAATTAAGGAGCAAATATAGTTTGTTCTTAGAACATCTAATCCTTAATAATTTAAGATAATACAATCAACATGTAAAACAGAATCCTCATTGCTAAGTTATTTTATTTTATCCTACAATTTCCTCCCCATTTTGGTCCAGAGTGCTATTTTCCAATTAATCACAATACATAATATGCATCAGCAAGTTCGTAAGGGCAGCAAGATGACTGTTGTATCTAATATTTTGAACAATTAAAATAAAAACTTAATTTCAATCTGAGAAAGGTCCTAAATGAAATGTCAAAAGAACAGGCAACGTAACATCATTGTACTCCACACTTTATTCTGAATGTAGCTGTAATTAAAAGTGGGATGATCCCCTTAAAAATCCAAGATTTACTCCTACCTGCTGTATGTCATTTCAATATGAGTTGTAATTAGATACATTTGCAATTACATACACTGGTGTTATACAATGTAGCTGCATCTATGTGGATGTGCCCTAGGCACTCTGCTCAACCCCGCATAAGCGGATTTTGGCAGTGTGCACCCTCATTCGAATCAAGTATACTCCATCTTTCTCTCTCTCTCTCTCTCTCTCTCTCTCTCTCTCATACACACACATATCATGCACACCCATGAGAAAAGAAAAAACAAAAAAACAATGAAAAACTACCAAAAATTAAAAAAGATAACAAAAAAAAATGGAGAATGAATTGTCCAACTAAAAAACAACAAAAATATAAAAGAAAAATGCATTACATAAAAAAGAAAACAACCATAAAAACTAAAAATTTAAAACATCCACAAATAAAAACACATTATAATGATTTGAAAAAGTAGGATAAATTTACCCTAATTAATAAGTTTCAGGACAGTTACAAGTAAAAGTAATACAAGAATTTTGTCTGAGAAATGTTTCTTTCAGATGACTTGACAGTACAAATGTATTTTCCAGGCTGCATCTGAATGCTTTCTAAACAGCAGAAAGTTAGAACCCATTCCACTGGAAATATCTTTTACAAGAAACATATTTCACTAGAAATAGATTTTTCTACACAATTTTTTTTCCAAGGATTCTAACAGGCCCTTAATGAATGAGATGCATTAATTTGTTTTACCTGTCAACGCATTAGACTATTACAGAATAGAGACACAAATTCTGTTACTCTTATTCATGCTATCAATTCATGCTATCAATCTATCAGTGATTCAGATAACAGATATACTTGGTTCAATTACTAACTTAAAATGCCCACTAACATATAAATCACATATTCCTGTTTTTCCATGCATTTCAATAAATTTTTTTAGTTTTTTTTTTTTAATTTAATGACGGCACCAGAAGTGATGACCCTGAGCACAGAGCCCTCATCCCACATTTGACAGCACTAGATTTGCAAAATGAATTCCTTCTAGATAACAACAAAAAATGGTATCAATTTCCTCAAGCAAGAGCAAGAAGCCAATATTTTCATCTAATGAAACACTAATGATATGGACGTGCAAATTGTTTAAGTCATATTTCAAATATTTGCTGTCTGAGCAGTAGTATTCTTCACTTTTCTGGAGAGAAAATCTATAATTTAGAATATAAACAAATAAAGGCATAAATCTCACAAAGTTGCAAAGAAAATGTCATGTCCTATTAAAGAAAGCTTACCTCTTGGGAGGTGGCTCCACCTTCCAACTGACCAATTTGTAAGTTCCAAATGTGTCAGGAAGGTGCACACTGCCTTCATTCAAACGGGACAGTATGCTCTGTGGATTTTCACAAGAACCATTAAGCAGCAGGATCTAAACCTTTCACAAATTACAATTGTTCCTCTCATTTCCTAAAAATGATCAGATGCCAAAATGAAAGATATTACCTCTGCAGTGGTATTTGGAATGTAATCATTTGGACCATCTGGAGAGATAGCCCATCTTATGAGAGAACCATTTCCTTCACTTGTAAAATTTAACATTTGGACCTGAATCATTCATAGCACTTGACAATCAAGAGTGAAACCATATAACACTTAACTAGAAAACATATACAAGGAACCACAAATAACAGTTAAAATCACTATCAGTGAGAAATATGGCAAGAACCCTCAAGCACATAATATTAAATTTCAGTACAGCTTCTATTCACCTGATCATATTTTATTTCCAACTCATGAGCAATGGACTGTGCAAGTTTTGAACTCTGAGGCACCAGATCTTGAATTTTTATTGTCATGGTCATTTCAAATTCCATCAGTCCAACTCTTTGCAAATGACCTAAGCACAATTTACAAAAAAAACAAAAAACAAAAAAATCAAAATAGATTTCAAGAAATAGTGCATGGTATAGGTGTTTCATGAGAAATCATCAAAATAAACAGAAGAAAGAGTACAATCTCATTGGGGTCATCAAATGCTCCACCCAAAGACCCAACTTAAAGCCACCCAAAAAAATAAAATTAGATCCCACATATGTAATCATCTTAGAATGTGTGTGTGTGTGTGAGAATATATATATATATATATATATATATATATATAGTAGGTAAAGTTATAGTAA